GTCCCTCAGCTCTTCAGCTCAAGGCGAGTGCTCTACCACTTGAGCCACAGCACCACTTCCAGTTTTCTGGTGGTTAATTGGAGATAAGTGTCTCACTGACTTCCCTGCCTGGGCTGGCTTTGAACCGTGATCCTCAGATCTCAGCCTCCTGAGTAGCTGGGATTACAGGCATGAGCCACTGGTGCCCAGCACAGCCACCCCTTTTGCATGGTGTGCTCCAAGAAATGATCATCAGGCAAACTAGACTTCTCTACAACAGTGCTTAGAATATGGGTCATGTGTTTGTCTTCTAAGAGCAGAGAAACAGCTGTGAACTCTGGAGTAAGAATGATGCAATAAAGTAGTGAGAACAACACGGTGAAGTAGTGCTTCACCTGAGTAAAACTGTAAACACTGGCTGCTCAAAATACAAGTACACACCTGTGATTCTAGACACTCAGAAGGCTGAGATCTGACACAGTTTGAAACCAGCCCACATAGATGAATTCCATGTGATTCTTATGTCCAATTAACCAGCAAAAAGCCAGAAGTGGCGGTATGACTCAGGTGATAAAGTCGCAGCCATGAGCAAAAAAGACCAAGCAAGAGTGTGAGGCACTGAGTTCAAGCCCCACTACTGGCACACACACACACACACAAGTGCTTCTAAAATGAGTGTGAACTATACACCACCTCAAATTAGATATAGCAAAATGAATGTGATAAAGGTACTAGACAGTAATTAGGTAATTAATTATGTGGCTCATTTTAAGAGCTTTTTTTTAAAGTTTTAACAAGAATTTATTTTAGTATACAGAGTTAAAGTAGGGAGAAATAGAAAAAGAGAAATATTTCCTCACACTGAAAATGGGACTCCTCATTTTAAGATCTTCACAATAGAATTATGCCTTCAGAATTTTCTCTGGTTGAACTTATTAACTGATATATATATATATATATTAATTGGTGGTTGGCCCAATACCTAGATTTCTTCATACCAGTAGAAATAGCAAACGTTTTTTATAGTAATGAAATGTGGCCTATTTATATTAATCCAGAGACACTCTAAAAACTTTTTTTTTTTTTTTTGTCGGTCATAGGGCTTGAACTCTGGGCCTAGGCACCGTCCCTCAGCTCTTCAGCTCAAGCACTCTACCACTTGAGCCACAGCGCCACTTCCAGTTTTCTGGTGGTTTATTGGAGATAAGAGACTCACAGATTTTTCCTGCCTGGGCTGGCTTTGAACCATGATCCTCAGGTCTCAATCTCCTGAGTAGTAGGATGACAGGTGTGAGCCACCAGCGCCTGGCTCTAAAAGCACTTTAACCATCTTAAAAGTGCAACAAGACTGATACTAATCATCAATTGTTAACATATTATCAATAAAATGTACATAACAATGGAAAATTCCAGAGCGGGCTTGCTATATAAATTCAGAGCACACCTCATTGCTGACTGCAGGGAAGCAGTGGGCTCCTTTGGCTATGAGCTGACAGCATGTCTTAGATTCTCTGTTAAGAAAGAGTGAATGTAGGGCTGAGAGGGTAGCTCAGTGTTAGAGTGCTTGCCTGACATGCATGAGGCCCTGGGTTTGATTCCTCAGCACCACATAAGCAGAAAAAGCCAGAAGTGGAGCTGTGGCTCAAGTGGTAGAGCGCTAGCCTTGAGCTGAAGAGCTGAGGGACAGTGCCCAGGCTCAGAGTTCAGGCCCCACGACCTACCAAATAAATAAATAGTGAATGTAATTCAGTAGTGAGAGCCAAGTGAGCCAGACAGAACCGTGTTCAGGGCGGGCACAGGTAGGAATTTTAGGACAGTTATGGGGATTATCTCATCATCAGTAAGCACAAGTATATATCTCCATAAACACAAGCGTTGTGTTTCTTACTGTTAGGTTTTTAAAAAGAGGTAGCCGAGTAAGAACAGCACCAGACACGCACGTGGTATTCAGGTAAGGGGTAGGTTTATTCAGTAGACCTGCTGAGACCAGGCAAGGTTGGCACTCCACGTGGCTGGGGAAGGCCTGGGAATGAGAGAGAGCTGGGAAGAGAGGAAAGAGAGAGAAAAGAGCCAAAAAAGAGCAGAGAGAGGGGTAAGAACAGTAGCACTCACGTGGTATTCAGGTAAGGGGTAGACCTCCTGGGACCAGGCAAGGTTGGCACTCCACGTGGCTGGGAAAGAGAGAGAGCAAGAAAAGAACAGAGAGAGAGCTAGAATAGAACAGAGAGAGCAAGAAAAGAGCAGCAAGAGCAAGAGAGGAAAAAAAAAAGGGCGTCTGGGCCTGGGCTAGGCCGTATGTAGGGTATGGGCGGGGAAAGGTGTGGCCACATCAAATTCAGATGTGACCTCAGCGGATGCAGATGTGACCTCTTCCAGGTGTCCCAGTTGCCTAGGTAACGCAGGTACTGGGTGGAGACTTTGCTGCGAGGAGGGTGGAATCTGCTAGCCATCTCGGAGCGGACCTTACACTTACCAAATGTCCAAATTTACCAATTCTACCATTTCTTCCTTTCTAACCAATTCACAAATTGTTCTGTGTTATCAAATAAGATTTTACCTTGTGTTACCTGTGAACATTATCAAAGTGTGAACCCAAGGGTCTTACATTTCATACAAAAATAACATGAAAACCAAACTGAAATTCCTCCAGAAAACACTTGATAATGATAACATTGTTTCACATTCCTGCCTGTGAGAAAATAAGGAAAATACAATAAATTGTAGATTCATTTTAGTGTCAATAGCTATAACTTCAAAATGACTTTTCTTTTACTAGGTTGTTTGTTATGTCTTTGGCTGATACCACAAAATCACATTCTGATGAGCATTTCCCGATGGTGGAATTAGAAAAGAGAAGGAAGTCTGGAGAGTGCAGGAGACACTCGGTCACAGGGGATTTGTCCAGGACCGGCAGGACTTCCAGTGGGAGTGTGGAATACAGCAGGTCCCAATGCTCCTGCAGAAGTCTAAATTCTCACTGTGACTATTCAGAAGACTTTCTCTCTGAGGCTTCAGAAGCAGGCATTAACAGAAAATATTTAGAACATCCTGTGGTAAAAGAAAAGGAGAAGAAAATGCATAATGTTTCTAAAATCTCCCTGTCCAAAGGTAAGAAGCAAGATTTCCCAGCCAAGACTGGTGCCTTCACGCCCTAATGTTCTGTTTGTTTTTGTTTTTGGTTGGTTGTGGGCCTTGAACTCTTGGCTTGGACGCTGTCCCTGAGCTCTTCAGCTCAAGGCAGGTGCTTTACCACTTGAGCCACAGTGTCACTTCTGGTTTTCTAAGTGGTTTATTGGAGTTAAGAGTGTCACGGAATTTCCTGTCCAGGCTGGCTTTGAACCAAGATCCTCAGATCTCAGCCTCCTAAATAGCTAGGATTACAGGCAGGAGCCACCAGCGCCCAGCTTGGGGTTTTGTTTGTTTGTTTTTGCTGGTCCTGGGGCCTAAACTCTGGGCCTGGGCGCTGCCCCTCAGCTCTTTAGCTCAAGGCTAGCACTCTACCACTTGAGCCACAGCGCCACTTCCGGCTTTTTCTGCTTATGTGGTACTGAGGAATCAAACCCAGAGCCTTATGCATGCAAGACAAGCACTCTACCACTGAGCCACCTTTCCAGCCCCCACGCCCTAATGTTCTGAAGTGATCCATATTCAATATAATTGATTGGTAAGTTTACTTTTCTGAAAGGAATTAGGAAGTAGATAAATTAAGAATAATTACAGACAGGTGCCAGAGGCTTCCCCATGTCATCCTAACTATTCAGGAGACTGAGATCTTGGGATGACAGTTTGAAACCAGTCCAGGCAGGAAAGTCCATGAGACACTTATCTCCAATTAACTGGATGGGGGGGAGGGGGGAGGCTGGGAAGGGATGGGAAGGGTAAACAAAGGAGGAGGCTGCAATGCTTGGTAAGAAATGTACGCATTATCCTGCCCATGCAATTGTAACCCCTCTGTACAGTATGTTCACAAATAAAATAAAATTTAAAAAAAAAAAGTCAGAAGTGAGCCGGGTGCTGGTGGCTCACGCCTGTAATCCTAGCCAGCCCGGGCAGGAGAGACCGTGAGACTCCTATCTCCAATAAACCACCAGAAAACCGGAAGTGGTGCTGTAGCTCAAGTGGTAGAGCGCTCGCCTTGAGATGAAGAGCTGAGGGACAGCGCCCAGGACCAGAGTTCAAGCCCCACGACCGACCAAAAAAAAAAAAAAAGTCAGAAGTGGAGTTGTGGCTGGAGTGGTACAGCGCAAGCCCTTGAGCACAAAAGCTCAGAGACAGTGCCTAAGTCCTGAGTTAGAGTACCAGGACTGGCACCAAAGGAAAACAGAAGCTCTGTCCTTGCCCAGCTTTTCCCTGTGGACCCTGCTAGTGAGGCTAGTTCCATTTCATTTCACAGGTGGCTTTGTTACAGAGAGCCACAGGACCTCTGGCCTTTGCAGCTGAAGAATCAAGGTTTGAACTGCCAGTGAAATGGAAGCGCTGCCTCCACACAGGCAGATGGCCTCCAAGTCTGGCGAGGCCTACTGCAGACAGTCTTGAAACAGGTTCAAAGGCTGCTATCACTGCAGTTTCCTTGTAGGTTCTAAGAGTATCTACCTCAACCTCATCAGCGTCTGCCTGTCCAAACTAGTATCAGTCTTGTGATGTCCTTGATCCCTCACCCTCATGCTTCTCCCTGCCCAGATTGTGTTACTTTTTTCCATTTTACCAGTCTGAAGCTGCTTAGCATTCCTGATGCAGTGAGAGCTGTGACTTTATCACTCTGACAATCAGAACACCCTCAGCCAACATCTGGATGACACTCAAAGCCTGCTATCCCTGGGGCTCCCTCCACCACTATCCCATTTGCCCTGGGTCTTTCACTAGCCTGCTATCACCAGATGTGCTGGGGACCTCTGTGCCACCTCTGGACCATTGTGGGGCTTCAGTTCCCCCAGCTCCCAGCTACCAAACAAGGGCTCTTCTTCACAGGACTCACCTGTGAGTTGCATGAAATCTGATGTGTTTTGTTTTGCCTGTGCTTTTGAGAAGTTTTCTAGTGGGAAAGACCCAGAGCATTCACTTCTGAAAGCGAAAAGTCCCTTGTTTCCTAGAGAGGAATGGGCCCCACACACACTGGCCTAGTCCTTCTCTCATGGTGGGAGCCAGTGAGATGACTATGGGTCGCATTTGGGAGAGATGACCACAATTGAAACAGCATCCTGCCCAGTCCAGCAAGTACACAAACCTCATCCAAATGCATATATCTAAAAATCCAACCTCTGGAACCAAAGCTGATTGGAAAAAAATTCTTTCAATATCAAACATCGTCATCCTTTGCTACATGTAAATATGTGTACATATACATATAGGTAGATGGAGAGGTAGATAGATGGTGGCCTGGGGATGAGCTTGCTGGTCAAGTCAGGAAAATGTGTTCAGAGAGTATATTTCATTATTGATAATGTGCCTTTTAGGTAACTGTCATTTTTGGTGAATTAAATCAATTGAGTATTTTATTTTAGGTCAGTGGTTTAAGAATTAGGTATTTTAAGAGTAATTAGCCAGGTGCCGGGGCTCATGCCTGTAATCCTACCTACTCAGGAGGCTGAGAAGCCAGCCCAGGCAAGGAAGTCCGTGAGACTTTTATCTCCAATACACTACTCAAAAGAGCCAGAAGTAGCATTGTGGCTCAAGTGGTAGAGTGCTCGCCTTGAGCAAAGAAGCTCAGGGACAGTGCCCAAGTCTAGAGTTCAAACCCCAGGAGTGGCAAAAAAAAAAAAAGTAATGTAATCATTTGACTAACTCTGTTTTATCGTGTGAAATGGGGTCTAAACTACAGACTATACCACCCCTAGAGTGTGGGGGTAAGGTAAAGAGATGGAAAATCATTAGGGACTAAACACTAGTCCAGGTTTCTGTGACCTTAATTATACAAGTGCGTGACACATGGACTATGGTTTTCTGGCACACCACAAAATGCAAGTGGCTCCTTGAGGTTTTTGAAGCAAACAAAGCCGGCTTATCCTCTCTCTCCCGCTCACCCACTGGGGTAAAGGGGAAATTCCATCTCTGTCATAACTCAGCATGGTGGCACATATTGTTACTCCAGTATTCAGGAAGTGGAGACAGGAAGATTACAAGTTCAAGGCTAGCCTGTCCTACATAGTGAGATACTGTCTCAAAAGATATCTTTTTTGTGGTACTGGGATTTGAACTTATGGCTTCATGCTTGCCATGCAGGTGTTGTGCTACTTAAACCACACTTCTAGCTCCTTTTTCTTTTAGTTTAGGTAGGGTCTGTGCCCTGGGCCAGCATCAAACTATAGTCCTCCTCCCCATGGCCTCTTGCCTTGCTGGAATCACAAGCCCCACTGCCCCGGCTTATTTGTTGCAATAGAGGACTTGCTAATTTTTTGCCTGTACACATACAAACATATTTGCATGTCTCTACATATCACTAGTAACCAACTGGATTATCTGTTTACATAGGCAAGAAGGAAACCACAGGTGAAAAAAAGCACACCTGGAATGCATCATTTTTCACTTCTCAACTCAGTATGATTACACAAAAAAGAAATGCAATGGCCCAACGAATACTCTCAGCAAGACTTCATACAATTAAAGAACTGAAAAACGAATTAACTGACATGCACCGGAAGCTGGAAGCTGTCGTCATAGAAAACCAATTTCTGAAACAGCTTCAGGTAAGGCACTTGAAAGCCATAGGCAAATACGAGAATTCCCAAAACAATCTGCCTCAAATTACAGCCAAACACCAGAACGAGGTGAGGAATTTACGGCAGCTCCTTAGGAAGTCACAAGAGAAGGAAAGAACTGTGTCCAGAAAGCTCCGAGAAGCTGACAGCAAGCTGCTGAAGACGAGGGACGCCCTCCAGGCCCTGCAGAAGCTTTCTGAAGACAAAAACCTGGCAGAGAGAGAGGAACTGACACACAAATTGTCTCTCCTCACCACCAAGATGGAGACAAATGACAAAAAAATACAGGTCTGTATTTCTTCTTCCCTTTCTTTTGTAGCAGTACTTGGGCTTGAACTCAAAGCCAAGGCACTGTCCCTTATTTTTTCACTCAGGGCTGGTGCTCTGAGCCACAGCTCTACTTCTTTAGTGGTTAAGTAGAGTCTCATGGACTTTCCTGCCTAAATCCTCAAATCTCAGCCGTCTGAATAGCTAGGTGTGAGTCACCAGTGCCCAGCAGGGTCTGCATTTCATTAGGTCATTAGGTCCCCAACTTATAGAGGATCCTGTTCAGTCCCCCCACCCCACCCTGAACTCCAGAGCACCACAAGAGTGAACATGCGCCTGGAGGGGGCAGGGCGAAGGCAGAGGTGTAGCGGAAAAACAGAAGGCACAGAGTTGGAGACCCATGGACGTTGGTTCTGTTAAGTGAGCAAGAGTTCACTCGGTAGCCATGTGGAGAGAAAGGGCTGTTTGTGGAAGCAGCCTGGCTGCCAGCAGCAGAAACTTCCTCTCAGATGCCCAGAGTTGTTCTGCGTGGGGCACAGGAGAACCCCGTGATATCATCTCCCTCCTTTGTTTTGGAGGCTGCCCCAACAATGTCCTTCAGTCCCCTTCTTGTTCTTCCCATTCTGTCTGGCAGATCATTCCTGCACAGACATGCTGAGTTATTTTAGAAACAGGAGTTTTTCCCATAATGCTTCAGGGAATACACTTTAAAAATAACTGGAGGTTAGGCTGGGAAGGTAGCTTAATGGTAAAGTGCTTGCCTTGCATGTATGAGGCTCTGGGTTTGATTCCTCAGCACCACATAAGCAGAAAAAGCCAAAAGTGGCGCTGTGGCTCAAGTGGTAGAGCACTAGCCTTGAACTGAAGAGCTGAGGGACAGTACCCAGGCCCACAGTTCAGGCCCCACGACCAACAAAAAATAAATAATTAATTAAAAATAACTGGAGGTGAATGGTGTGGTTTTCCCCATCAGTCCCTGGTTGTCAAAAGCCAGTTGGCCACATTATAAGAGACAATTAATTACAATTATAAGGAAGAAGACACTGGTTTTCCTGCCCATTTTACATGGTAGGTAATTGTGGTCTCTATGGAATTAGTTGACTTCGATTCTTTGACACTTAATTTTGAGAGGCATATTCTCTCCTCTCTCTCTCTCTTTCTCTCTCTCCCTCCCCCTCCCTCCTTCTCTCCTCCTCCCCCCCTTTGGTCAGTTGTGGGGCCTGAACTCTAGGCCTGGGCACTGTTCCTCAGCTCTTCAGCTCAAGGCTAGCACTCTATCACTTGAGTCACAGTGCCACTTCTGGCCTTTTCTGTTTTTGTGGCGCTGAGGAATTGAACCCCTTACCTCATGCATGTACTGCTGAGCCACCTGCCCAGTCCCTTTTCTCTCAGTTTTTTTTGAGGCAGGGCCTCACGAGTAGCCCAGGCAGGCATAGAATTTGTGATGCTCAGCCTCATAAATGTTGGGGCTATAGGCATGCACCCATAAACTAGTTTTCTCTCTGACCATGAAATAAATAAACAGTTCATTTTGTCCATATTTTTACTGTTTTCCTTAATTGGTAAACTATTCTGCTTCCCTGAAGGACTGTGTCATGTATAATGAATATTTGAGGCATGGAAAATAATGAGCAACCTCACTTTTTTTTTTCATTTTTCACTCTTGCCTACCAAAGTGATAATCTTTGGCTTTGGATTGTACTGGATCCCTTTTAGTGTGTGTCTACCATGTAAAAGTAAGTGCATTTTTATCTCATCTGCAAGATTGTACACATACACATTCAAGAAGCTCATGTCTTTATGCTTATTAGACAAAGCTAAAACTAATTCTAAACCTGACCATTTTATTAGATATCAGAAGCACTTGCTAGTGTGGGGAGTTCCACTTTGTTGTAGGGCATTTGAAGGGAGAAATATTTTCCAGGCCAAAATGTGTAGGTATATTCTGGACACTGTTTTTTTAGAAAATGGAATGTTTTGTGATTTCACCTTTTAGCTTTCTGTTTTCCACTTTTCTTTAATGGGGAGTTACTAATCCTATAAAAGAGAAGACCTGGGGGTCTGGGAAGTTGGCTCAGTGGTGGAGTGCTTGCCTCGTATGCATGAGGCCATGGGTTTGATTCCTCAGGACCACATAAGCAGAAAAAGTCTGAATTGGTGCTGTGGCTCAAGTGGTAGAGCGCTAGCTTGAGCTGAAAAGCTGAGGGACAGTGCCAGGCCCAGAGTTCAGCTCCCACGACCAAAAAAAAAAAAGAGAAGACCCTATTTTTCTTTAAGCTCTGACCCACACTTCCAAGTTCAGAACGAAGTTCTCTAGTCCAAAAGTTCCTACAGAAAGCAGGTATGTGTGCAGCTCAGTCAACTCTCTTTCTCCCTCTATCTTTCCTCCTTCCCCTCCTTCCCCCTCCCCTGTTTCCCCCCACACACTCTGAATGTGGAATCCCTGCTTACAGTGGTCTGCACTGGTACTTTAGACAGCCCTCCAGGAGGAGGGGCACAGGATTTTGGAAGAGGACCATGTGTAAAGACATCAGAGTAGCTCATTTGGGCAAAACTGCTTAGATTTGGATGGAAAGTATGACTATTTTATTGACTTTTACAGAATATGTTAAAAAAAAATTATCAAATTCAGAGTATGTTAAAAGCATTGAAACGTTTGAAACATTTATTCTCTGGGATCTCACTATTCTTGATATAGTTAGTTCTAAGACATGCTAAAACCATTCTATAATTTTGTCTTTTTCATAAATGTAATTAGTTCTATTACAATAGGTTTTCATAATCCCAAATTGGCTGCAGAACAGTTAAACTATGCATTGTTTTCAGAGCTTAGAAAAACAATTGAGGCTGAACAACAGCGCCTTTGGCCGGCAGTTGGCTATTGAAAATCGGAAGACAGCAGCAGCTCAAACTGAGACAAAGACTCTGCAAGTGGAGGTGAAACACCTGCTACAAAAGCTTAAGGTATTCTTTCCTTTCTTCACAAATGGTGTGAGCAACCTATAGCCAAGCCTGCAGTTCATGCCTGTAATCCCAGCTATGAAAGTTTAAGATATCCTTTTGTTCCTTCTCAAATGGCATGAGCAAGCGCCACAAACCAGCTATAATCTCAGCTCTCACCTGTAATCCCAGCTACTCAGGAGACAGTGATGGGAAGTGTGACTCCAGGCCAGCGTGGGAAAAGACTCAAGACCCCGTCTCAACAGGAATAGCTGGGTGTGATGGAATGTACCCATCATTCCAGCTACCATGGAAACCATAAGTAAGAGGATAACATTCAAGCATGCCTAGGAAAAATAGGAGCTGTGGCTCAAGTGGTAGAGTAGTAGCCTTGAGCAAAAAAAGCTCAGGGACAGTGTCCAAGCCCTGAGTTCAAACCCCAGGACTGGCATAAAAAAATGCTAAATCATAGGAGCTGCCAAGGCACTGGTGGCTCATGCCACTGACTCTATTCACTCAGCAGCTTGGTAGTCATACTTCATGACAAGTAACATTATTGATTTTTTTATGCTTAAAGCAACTTAAAACAGGCTTCTTAATTTAAAAACTAACATAATCCGTGATACAGTAAATTTAAAATCTACTGTGTGACTAGGACTGTGTCTCCATGACAGTGCCTTTGCCTGGAATGCACCAGGCTCTGGGTTTGATGCTGGCACACACAAAGTAAATTGTCTCCTTGCAAATACACTTGAAAAACTATCTTTTAAATTATAAACGTTGTTTTAATAAACATTTTTATGGTACAGAGGAAGGAACCCAGGCCTTTATATGTACTAGATAAGTTTCTGCCACTGCACTATACCTTCTCAAGTCTAAGAACTTTAAAGCAGGGGCTGGGAAGGTGGCTCAGTGGTAGAGTGCTTGCCTTGCATGCCTGAGGCCCTAGGTTCCATTCCTCAGCACCACATAAGCA